ACAGCTTTTTGTGGGCAATTGTGACCTTGATATGTTGTACAACTGAAAATGCAATAATAATAGATCAATCTTCGTTTACCCATACTATTTTGTTTTTGAGCAATTAATAAAGTACCTTTACAATTAATTCTATTTTCATCTAGTGAGAAATTAACATTAGACAAAATCTATGAGTAATTAGGGAAAAACTACGAAAAAAAAATATCGAGTGCCGGATAATGTAGAACAAAAGAAATCCTCGTACGAAACGGAGAGAGTAAATGGTAATTGGTAACGATTAAAGCGTCAAATCGTTGCCCAGAAAAACATACAAACCGTACTGAATTCGTGAAAACTACGAACTTAGGAATACAATGGAGGTAACAAGTACATTCCTCAAAAATGACAAAAATCCGAATAAAATCACACAACACGAGAGAGAGGATTACATATTTTCGAAGTCCGAGTGACTGACTGCATTAGCACCCTGTGGAATTTCTATATTACAAAGACACTATTTTTTTTTTTCTTTTTCGATTTAACCAATTCAGATGAAGAAAAAAATGGCAACAAACAATGCAACAAATCGAGAAAAGCTAATAAGTAAAGCATTTTTCGACGATTTTCGATATTCAATGAATATCGGACATTTGGCAGACAGCTGGCATGTTATTCCAGCAGCAAGAACTAAGGCCCCAAATAGAAGTGTTCTTCGTATCTTCACCCATTAGAGCTCCAATAGCATCGGTTGGTGGGCAGCCTTGTTGCTTCCAATATGAAGCATTTTGCTCGACCCAGTATGAACCTAGTGATGCTTCAGGGGTAGAATAGTCCAAGTAGTTATTCGGGTTTTTTTTGCTTTCGCAATCTAAGATCCAACTTTGGTCGAACACCTCTGATTTCACACGGCGCACTGCAGAACACACATGATGAGACAAAATATTGTCATTCCTTTAATCAAAACAAGATGTTTGGTCATCAAGTAATTACATAATGATAAAATCAAATTTCCAACAACTCGTTCGTTTCCAACAAGGCCTAGCTGATAAGATGATCAAGAAAAAATCATTCAAGAATCGGAGATTTCAATCTAAAGCACAAATCAAAAGGGTCATAACCAACAGATTTCCAGTTTCAACATCTTTATTCATCAAGATCAAAAGGGTCATAAGCCAACTTGAACTACAACTAACAGTTTCATGGCTAGCATTTGACAAGAGACGACTACTATTTTGGAGCTAAAATGACACGAGATGAACTAAAATTACAAGAAAGTAAAAATGTTTATCCATGGAGATAGCTAATACTTCGGCTTTTAACCAATTACCACTTGTAACAGACCGAGTACGACTTCTAAGAAAAAAGTCGCCACAATTTTTATTATTTGAGAGAGAATAGGGAATCCGTACCAGATTTGTTCTCTTCCAATGAACTTCTGAATGTACCAGCCGAAGTGTACCCGTTGAAAATCGATCCTATCGAGTTACCCGATGGGGAACTAGGGTGGTCACGATAATCTTTAAACCCAGCGGAACCCTTTTCCAAGGCGGGGCTATCTTTTACATCTCCATGGCTGATGTTGGATGAAGTGGCCCAATCAGAAGATTGATTATCTGACTTGCTCAGTGCCTTAGCCTCGTAAAGTAGATCTTCTAAGAGACCACTGCTACCTGGAGAAGGCCAATGTGAAGATGGTGGCCCTAACATCGGAGACTGGACTAAAGAATCAAATGATTCGGGTGTGGAATCCCAAGCACCGAATCCGGATTCTTGATATTGGAGTGAAGGGAGCTCCGACTTCTGATTACATGTGAAGTGCTCAGAAGCAGAGGAAATGCCATTTGACATAAAATGACTGTCTTTATCGACACCAAAAGGAAACATTTTCTGGGTGGGGTCGGGTTCGTATGGGAAATACAGACCAAAGGGAGACATTTTGCTCGCGTAACTTTCGATTTGATTCTTGTGAAATGGAGGTGCCTCAATTGGAGCACCTCCTTCATAGTCTGGCATAGGTGCATCAGTTCCTTGCGCACATTTCGGAATTTGGGGGGCAAAAGTGCAGAACTGAGGAGGAGCAAATCCGTTACTCGTCGAAACGGTGGCAGAAATACCTGGAAATTCGGATGTGTATGGTGAGATATTGAAATTATCAAACATGAAATCAGGTGTCTCATAACCATTGATTTGCATGATATCGTGACATCCTTTATCTCCATCATATATTCCAGGTGAACCGTGGTGTTGATTCTCTGGCAGTGCATGTAGGCATAAATCAGGAGGGTAAAGTGGTAAACCAGCACGTTGACGCCTTTTTATTCGGGTGTTCCAGTAGTTCTTTATCTCATTGTCCGTCCTTCCAGGCAACTGAAATGAAATTACAAACATTTTTGGTATGAATGACTGAGCAGGAGAAAAATCCAAACAATCTATAACAACATGTCTTAACATCCAATACTGGAAGGAGTCGAAAGAAAGAAAGAGCATTTGAAATTCATGAGAACATTTTTGAGCTCGTAACTATGAGTTTTTTTTCCTATTCCTTTTCAAGACAATCTGAACTATCTATGTCCAGGACTTCTATGGCTACATATTTTTCCTATTCCTTTTCAAGACAATCTGAACTATCTATGTCCAGGACTTCTATGGCTACATATGGCTTTATGAAAATGTTATTTCCATTATATAAAACAACCAAATGTCATTATGTTCTTATATGAGTCGGTTGTGGAAATTTATCCGGAGATACTTGAAGAAAACCATCAATAATTTACATAACATATTCATTTATCATTGGTGACAAGGATTATCAATAACACAAGTATGCAAACGAACAATATGATCTTCATCGCATTTGCTTTTAGATCTTTTCTTATTTTCCCCAAAAAAGAAAGTAGAGAAAAAGAAAAAAGCATTCTCTCATTTTTTTCTTTAGGTGAGCTGCACGTAAAAGATGATGCTAAGAGTTCTTGGAAAAACGTAGTAACGTTAGCGCATGCACCAACTGCAAGCTCAAAGTGTATGCTAATGAGAGCTTATAGGTTCCACTATCTGTTACTTTACTTCGTTCCAACCTAAAAGAACCATATAGCTTTACATGTATATCTCGACTCCTCAAAAGGATTAAGTGGAATTACAGAAGAAACAACTTTGCATATTATATTTGTTCCATAGACATCAAAATCTGCAGAACATAATCATATATATCATCTATTTAAGGCAACCTCCACACCAAACCCCCCCATACAGTAACCGTATGATCTTCGCTTCACATAAATACCAATAAAACCATTCTTGGTAATACCTTAGAGATCTACAAATAAACACATTGAATTCGCAGATAGAAACACGAACTGGTAATGAAAAGGGACTATCGAAACTTACATGTGCAGCCATTCGAGCCCATTTGTTTCCCATCTTGGCATGAAGTTCGATTATTAACCGCTCTTCTTCTGACGTAAAAGCCCCTTTCTTAAGATTCGGCCGTAAATGGTTGGCCCACCTTAACCTGCAGCTTTTTCCACACCGTGAAAGCCCCGAGTGTTTCTGAACTGCATTCCAGTTGCCTTCTCCGTGCCTCTTCACATAGTCAACTAAAATTGAATCCTCAGCAGTTGTCCACGGGCCTTTCTTCAGAAGAGCGTTGCCATTTGAACTTCCGCCTGAATTTTCCCCATCGTTGCTCAGAGGAGAATCGGCAGATAGCACACCGTCTTCACTCTCAGTAGTAGTGCTGTGCCCCATTTTTATTACTCTCTGCGTGTTTGTCTGTCTGTCAGAGAGAGAAAGAACTTCTTAAACTCCACAAATCTAGCAACTTAATTCGCATCGAATAAGCCTTTGTAAGGCTGAAAAATCAAGGGAAGAAAAAAACCCCAATCAAATTCTTGATACCCCATGCAGAAGTGGCTTCATTAATGGTATTAAAACCTACTGAATTTAAGCATGGGAAGCTAAAATCAATCAAAATCAGCATCCATGAAAACGAAGTAAATCGAAAAACGACGCAGATTAGAAAAATAAATAAAAATCAAAGCAAGTCAAAATATCTAGAAATTGAACTTCACAGCCAATTATGAATCGGAGCTTAAAACATATTTTTTTTCTGCAGATTATTACCATAAGTATACATCGAGAACTTATTAATTAAACGAAAGATTAAAACTGCAAATACGAACACGAAAAAATTTGCTAATCGCGATTAATTCAAATTCCCCATAATTAACCTTTCAGCTCAAACTGAATTCCATCGCGAATTTCGCCCCAAATAAAAACAACACAATTTACCAAATATAGAATCAACACAGAAACAATTCCTACTTCATTTATTGACGCTAATAAATGCACCCTAATTAAAAAAAAAAAAAAAACACTCAACACACGGCAATAAATGTAGCTGGGTTGACCTAATTATTGCAACTTCCAGCTTCGTAATTTCTACTCATTCAATTCAGCTTCCATTTCTTCTACTGTAAAAAAATCACGAAAATTCTTCGATCAAACACAAAATTAAACAATTACCTGATTCAGGAATTTTTTTTTTTTTTTTTTTGGGAATGGATTGAAGAAGACGGAGCTCAGAGAGAAAAAGGAAACGGAAAAAAGGGAGGAAATGATTTCTGAGAAAGCGTGAAAGGGAAATCGGAATCGACGAAGGGGAGGCTCCAGCTATATATAGATGTGTATGTATATATATGCGTACACAGAGTATGCGTGTAAGTGTGTGTGAGTGTGTGTGTGTATAATATAATAAAATAATAAAATAATAAAATAATAATAAAGTAATAATAAAATGCTTTTACCAAAATATCCCAAAGTGGCAACAGAGTACAGCTCGCAATCTTTTTTGGGACTCTCAATTTACCCAAATTAGGAAAATCGTGTTTTATTATTATTTTTATTATTTTTATCTTTGAGAAAATTGCACTTTACCGCTATTTTTTGGTTTCATTTTCAAACCATTTTATTTATATATATGAATGACAAAATAACGGCCACCCCTGAGTTATGACCAAATCACGAAAACCCGCATCCTGTTTGGGTAACTACAACCACCTCCTTCAACTATGTATTATCTTACGAAAAAATCCCTGCAGAGATAAATGTAGGGATGTTAAATCGGTAAAAGCGAATCGAAATTTCGGTACGCCAACATTTCAAACCGTTTACCGAACTACATATACGATTTGGTTCGATAGATAACCGAATTACATAAATTTTATGTCAAAATATTTTAAAGAAAAGGGTTGGCTATAATTACCCAAACAAAATAGTATTTTCGTAATTTGGCCATACCTCATGGATTGGCCGTATTTGCCCATATATTATATATATATAACAAAAATTGTATTCATGTATTTGCTATAACATATTATGATGTGTGTAAATCAAAATATTTTGACTAAGACCTTTTTTAAAAAAAAAAAAAAAAAGAACCCTCGCAGCTAGTTATACACTAAGGCCCCGTTTGGTTGGCAAGATAAGATTAGCCAAGATAAGATTAAATAATCTAATGAGACCCAATTATTTTATTGGAGCTTGAAACGTCCAACAAAAAAAACTCATTAGAAGGCAAGATAAGCCAAGATAAGGCAAGATAAGCCATGATTATATAATTTTTGCGGGTCGACCCGGCAATTTATTGAGGATACCAAACATCAAATTAAGTCCAACTATTTAGTTAATCATGGCTTATCTTGACAACCAAACGGAGCCTAAATATATAACAAATTCGAGCGAGAAATTGTTAGTTGAGAATTCGAAAGTTGAATTATTTAATTTCATGTTCTTTCTACTTTACTAAATAGGTCATCTTTAATTAACCTGTCTATTTTAATTAAATTTTAATTAAGACTTGTTTCAATGAAGTATGAATCAAATTACATTAAGATACCTCGTGACTTGTATGGCCAAATTGAACAATTTGTAAGAGTTTTGGTCAAATTGAACAATTTGTACCCCATGTTTTATAGTCGTGACGTGACAACTTTTATACATAATTCTATTTTCTTAAAATATAGGCATTATTAATAGTGGTATAAATGAGTTGAGCCGGCTCGTGGGATCGGTTAGCTGATTTGATTAAAGCTCGAATTGGAATTGGAATTTTTGGAGCTTCAGTTTTTTGACGAGTCGAGACGGGCTCATTTTTAGTTGGTCGTGGGCTCGCGAGCTCGAGCTTTATGAGGAGTCGAACCCATAAAAGTAATAAAATAAATAAATTACATGACATTTTTTTAGTTTGATTTTTTTATTGTAATTTATAATAATAAAATTCAAATAATATTAATATAAAAAACTACACAAAATGGCTCAAGCCAGAAGTCGTGCTCGAGTCCAAAAACAAATACTCAAAGAGTTCGAGCTCGACCTCGCCAAAACACCAAAGTTCAGCTCGTTTACACGCCTAACTATTAAGTTTAATATAATCTTGACTTAATATTAAGAGTGGGACAATATTTTATTAAGGGGCCGGCAATATTTTTTCCCTATAAATCTATAATTATATAAAGGGACCTTTTAATTATATCTTCAAAATTGTAGGGAGTAGATTGAAATTTTATTAAAAAAATATAATTATGATTCTCTTTCTTAACAATTAAAAAACTACTTAATTAGTTTGATATTATATTGTGATCAAATAAGTTATTTTATGATTTTCTACATAAAGGCCTTGCTGAAATTAGTCAAAATTAGTCAAGAGTTTTTACCCAAATTGTTTTGATGGTAATTGTATTATATATCATGTGAAAATCAATTTGATAAATGCATAAATATTTTTCAAATATGATTAAGCTTGTTAAGTCGGAACTACGTAAATCATCGGGGATATATTTTGTTAAATCGGAACTACGTCGTCATGTGGGGGTCAAAATATTAAATGAATTTTCTCTAGTGTCAAAAAAAATATTCCAAATTTATAATTTTTATTTATATTTTTTTTAATATAAATTTGTTTTGATTTATTTATTATATATATCCAAAAACATTTATTTTGGCCCATATATAGAAAACAACTTTAAAAAGAGATAAAAAAGAAAAAGGGTTGGGAGTCCCATTTCAGCATGTTCGTAGAGACGTGAAAGGATGATGGAAATCGATTTATAACATGTGACAAAATTAATTAACATATATATAAATATTTAGGGTATGTTATATTTGCTTATTTACATAACTTTTGAAATTTTATATTTGATATGCCTAATTGGGCCGATCCAACGGGCCTAGGATTTATTTATTTATAGGGTCACGAGCCTAATTTCAAAGACCACTACAACGAAAATCAAAACATCTTCAAATAAGGTTTCGGTCCAACAAAATAACTCCAACCCGATCAACGAGGTACAAATTAAGATTTTAATTCATTTGTTAAGGTACGTCCTATTATTCGAGCAATATAACTGTTTATATTCTCTCTACTATCTCCATTATCTTCACACCTGACTTGAGCGTCAGAGGGGTTTCCGCCGAATCAATCCCGACTTAGTTTACGTTTATTTTATTCGCATGAATCTCAAGATCATCAAAATATCTCATGACCATCTAGCTCATTCTACCTCAATATTTAAGGTGATCTAATTCTAGCATAATCAATATCATATTATCAAAATCAAGGAATTATATTTCCATGCCTAATAAGTATTAAGTTAAGAAGTTTCATAAAATTGTGACATAATAATTCCACATATTGATACTCTACATGATATTGTTATCTTATTTCTTCGATGAGATTTTTGAAAATGAGCAGAGTCGACTCCTGAGCTCGACAAGCCGACTTGAAATAAACACAAACTCGAACTTGGGTTTTTCGAGCTCGATCGTTTTTTTAGATGTTCATGAACTCACAAGCTGGCTCGCGAACCTTCTTTTTATTTATTTTGCATTTTTTATATATTATTTTTTATTTCAATAATATAAAATATTATAATAATAATATAAAAATAAAATAATAATTACAGTCCATTATTTATATTTTAATTTTTATTATAATATAAATAATTTTAATAGTAATAAATAAATAAATATTTTTTTATAAAAGAATGAGCTTAGGCTGGAGCTCGTCAAAATTCGGCTCGCCCTTGAGCTCGAGCCAAAAAAGAAAGTATTCGATGAGCTCGAGCTCGAGCCAAAATGAGTTTGGTGATGATTAATCATTGGTGTGCACATAATTATACACACATGTGTATGAAGCCCAACTAAACATCAATTCTTTTTGCACAAAATAGTACCCAAAATCGGAGTTTTTTGCCAAACAAATTCAAAATAATAAGATGGCAAAAACGATTTCTTTTAACTGTCCAATTGACAAAAATAAATCAAAATACAAAACTTTGAAATCGGAATTTGGAACGTGTTTTCACATACTTCGACTTCAGCCATAACACAAGAGTCACGAAGAGCTTGATTTACGTTTCAATTGGATATGAATAACGAATTAATGTGTATAAAACAAAGTAGATTTTATTTATTATAAAAAATAACTATCACTAATTATAAAAATCAAATATAAATGATTATAAATGAAAAAAAATAAAAACCCAGTTACACCGGATCAGCCGTGACCCCGTAGCTTGTCCAGGTCGATGTCTTTTTAATTTTCAAAACAATAATATTTCAGGAGACTAGTTTCAAAAAAATTAACCAAAAAAAAAATTGAACCAATGAAAAAATGTTTTGACTATTGGGTCAGTCAATCAGTTCAAATCAAGGTAGACCAAGTGAATTTAAAAATTATTTTATTAATACGTTTTTTTATTTTATTTTTTTGATAAATTTATTAATACGTATCTTAGTTCTTAAGAGATAGAGCAATTGGAGTTGACTTGTTCTACCTTGACGTAAGCTTTGATAAATAATTAAGCACTTTATTGGCCATTATAGGGTTGTTGTATGTGAAAGAATTTCGAAAATATATATTGGATGAATATTTTAGTTTGATTGGTAAGTTAAATTATAATTAATTAAACGTTTAAATTTTATTTCAAACATGTTTTTTCGGAGAATTCCATTAATCATGAAAAAGAAAAGAGTTGGGTTGATATATTAATTTTATTACATCCAACTCCTTGTAATTTATAAATTTCTTATATTCACTCCTCTACAAAATGATGTTAATGTAAGAAATCTACACTTTAGAGATGATGAATGTAATAATGAAAAAAACAGAGGTTTATCTTGTAAATAGGCCTTAGTTTAAGGGGGAAGTGGTAATTTATCATAATTATTTTTTTCAAACCATAAATCCTCAATATTAGCTCGTATGTGGTTAATTATTCTATTCAATTTTTACTTTTTATTAAGTTATTATTAATTAATTCTCTTATTTATCCTAGTTGACTTGATAGCTCGTCTGTGGTTAATTATTCTCTTACTTTTTACTTAGTTGTTATTAATTAATTCTCTTATTTTGTCCCATTAATCCTTTCATTTGTCAGTAAAATATATCTGACAATTCTCAAAAAGTAATTAAAGTTAAATCAAAGAAGTGTGACATCTACTTGGTCCAATTAATTAACCTAGACCACATCACCTAATTAATATTGTAATATTTCTTATAGTAGTAATTTTATGTTACAGCAAAATCTAAAAAGTTTCATTTGGTTGTGGAGGGTTTAAATTTCATATGTAAGAAATTCGTTTGGATAAATGAAATGAATTTAACTTTTTTCGTTTTAATTATTGTTTAAGTCGTTGTAGCACCAGCGTCTAAGATGATC